AAAAAAAAAAATTAAAAAAAAAAAAATGACACCTTGTTTTACACGAGATTTTGGCAAGTCCTTTTCTAGGTGTATATACATAGGTTTTCTACCTATATGTTTTAATGCCTGTGGAATATTTTATCATAAGGATCTGACATAACTTGTTTAGCTGCTCCACTATTACCAGACATTATAACAGTTCATTTTTTTTAATATATATTTTTTTAAGCTTATTTGTTTTGACAGAGAGAGGAGAGAGAGAGAATCCCAACAGGCTCCACGCTGTCAGCACAGAGCCCGATGCGGGGCTCGAACTCATGAACCGTGAGATCATGACTTGAGCTAAAACCAAGAGTCAGATGCTTAACTGACAGAGCCACCCAGGCGCCCCTTAAACAGTTCAATTTTAGAATAAATTTTTTGAAGTGACATTTCTGGAACAAAGGTAGGGTGACTATACCTATCCTGATTTGCCTGAGGCCTTTTAGTGCTTACACTGGGAAAAGTGCCAGACAGCCCGAGTCATCACTCTAAGCAAAGGTCATGGGCGTTTTACAGTTATGTTTGTTTTTTGTTTTTTGTTTTTGAGCAAGCACAGCAGGAGAAGGGTAGAGAGAGAGGGAGAGAGGATCCTAAGTGGGCTCTGTGCTGACAGCAGCAAGCCCGATGTGGAGCTTGAACTCATGAACCGTGAGATCATGACCTGGACGGAAGTCAGTCGCTCAACCGACTGAGCCATGCACGTGCCCCGTTTTACAGTTTTAATACCTGTTGTAAATTGGAAAACGTTAAATTTAACAAGAAGAATGGAATATTGTCTGTTGTTGTGAAGCTGACTTTAAGAAGAATGGAAATATGGTCTGGACAGACCTCAGCTTCCCAGCACAAGAACATGGCCTGATGCCAGAGCATTGATATTTTTGCCTTGAGTAAGTGGCTGTGGGGCTCCCTAACACGCTGAGGTGGTCTTCTGGTTTGTTGACCCCAGCTTCTCTTTTGTGACTAAGTAAGAGGCAGATTTGCCTAGCGCCGAGGAGCTTACGGTCTGGAGTCGCTCAGAACTCATTGTAACCCTTGCTCTGCCGCTTCCGGGCGCTGCGGCCTGCAGCAGGTTACACAGCTTCCCTTTGCCTCAGTTTCTTCGTCAGTAAAATGAGAACAGCAATAATCTCTACCTCCAGAGATGATGCGAGGAATAAACAAAATGGCACAGTGAAAAGCACGTAGCACAGGACTTAGCATAAAGGAAGCGCTCAAAAAGTTGAAGTTGTGATTGTTAACAGCTATATTGACTCCAGTCAGTGGTAGGTTCTGATCCAGATGTGCCAGCCGAAGGGTGGCTTCCCTGTAAGGTGTGTAGAGCCTGAGCCTGTTCCGGTGTGAAGCTCTCACAGGTAATTTTCCCAAGGTGGCAACGAATTTCATGTATGTGTGTTAAGGGATTAGAAAGGCAGCTCTTCTGCTTTGTTTCTTCAAGTTCAGTTCTGATTGAATGTCTGTGTCCCCTGTGGAGACAGGCTCCCTGTCTCAACACTGCCGTTCTCAGCTCTAGTCCGCTCTCTGCCCTTAGTGACTCTGAATTAGAGCAGCCCCAGGGGCCCGGCTTTACATAGGAGTTTCACTTCTCTTTTCACTGAAGTATAATTTCATCCGGTGAAATGCACAGAATGGGGGGGGGGGGGGGGGGTGTGGTTGACAGTTGCATTTACCTGTCTAATCTGTACCCCTGTCAAGACAGAACATTTCCACCTCTCCAGAAAGTTCCCTTGTGCCCCTCCCTTCCCAGTCAAACCCTGTCCCACTTCCTTTTCCCCTCTTCAGGCAACCACTGTTCTGATTTCTGTCACTAGAGTTGAGGTCTTGCTGTTCTAGAACTTCACAGAACAGACTCGTATAGTAGAGCTGTGGCCTTCTGACACATTTCATCTACTGTCTGAGCCTCGGGTTTTCTCATCTATAAAGTAAGCATGAAAACAGTAATGACATTCTCAAGGGGCTGTTGGGAGAATCGAATGAAATAATGAATGCGAAAACCCTTTGCAGACTTCACTGCTACACGGCTGTGCACTTGATGCCTGTATTCTTAGAACTCCTCAGCCTCTCAGTCTAATGGAATAATGAAGTTGTGCTGAGAATAATAAAACCTTGTGTTTTATATTGGTCTTCAGCCACCTTGCAAGGGATGGACTGTGCTCCTGTTTTACAGATAAGGAGACTGAGGCCCACAGAGGTTAAATGATTTGCCTACAGTCACATAGCAAGCGCATGGTGGAGTCTGAGACTAGAACCTAGAACTCTCTCAGTGAAGAGTTCTTTCCAGTAAACCAACAATACCAGCATAGCACTCCCTCACTAAGTTCACATTTTTCATATTCTCAAGTGGTGGCTTTCTACTTACTTGGTTTGCTATTCTGACAGAAACACTGGTGTTGTCCTAGCTTTACCTGGTTTGGGGAGAAGAGTCTGCCTCTCAACCTCCAACACTGAGTCGGGGCGGAGGCATCTCTTATTTCCCTTCCTTGTATCCTAGCTCCTTGCCTTCTCCCTCTCAGACTCTGCGCTGGTGTTTGAACCTGGGCATCCTAGAGGTGACGGTCTACGCGTTCAGCATTGAGAACTTCAAACGCTCCAAGAGTGAGGTAGACGGGTTAATGGATCTGGCCCGGCAGAAGTTCAGCCGCTTGATGGAAGAACAGTAAGATGCCATGGGATGGGGGAGTGTGTTCCTACACCACCTCCAGCCCCACACTGACCCTCAACGCTCTTACCTGAGGCTTATTTAGGGACCTCTAAACCCTTTTAATGTTAGTCAGGTCTCTCTCTCTCTCTCTCTTTTTTTTTATGTTCATTTATTTTATTTTATTATTATTATTTTTTTTTAATTTTTTTTCAACGTTTATTTATTTTTGGGATAGAGAGAGACAGAGCATGAACGGGGGAGGGGCAGAGAGAGAGGGAGACACAGAATCGGAAGCAGGCTCCAGGCTCCGGGCCATCAGCCCAGAGCCCAACGCGGGA